ACGAACCCACCAAAGACACCACTCCCTAGAATACAGCACTACAGCTGTTAGCTTTTTCAGTTAACCAAATTAAATATGGTTATTCGTTCGTTTTGTCCTTTTCCAAGCCAAACTCTTACTTATTTTTTCTCACCGTCTCCACCAAACGTCAGTAAAATTTGAACATTTCAGTTACAGAAATCGCTAATCCTTCAAGGTCGGTCTCGGCTTCTTTGGTCTTAAGGGCAGCTTCAACGAAAACGTGGTCTCGGCATAGTTGATTTTACCCGGAATTTTTCGTTTGCTTTTTTTGGAGGGGTTGTTTGGTTTTGCTTAAAACAACCCTGTGGACCACAAAAGGGGGTTAGAAAGGGAGGGGGCAGAATGAGTCGGTTTCCCTGGAAGCCCAGGAAAATTCAGGCATCTGAAACCCTATCTTGTTGTTTTAAATAAGAAAGAGGTATAAATTCTAAGATGTTGGAAACGGGCAGGGAAACGATGTGACTCCAGCTGCTGAGCATGGCGCAAACCGAGGACCTCCGGGTGCTGGACGTTGGGGGAAGGGAGGGGACTCTGCGGGCACCACGCGGTCAGCCCAAGGGGCGGGCTCCACACGCACTCCGACTATTTTCTACTCTTCCTCCCTCTTTTCTCCTTGGGGTTGGGGCGGGGGGCTCGCAGTTAAAGGGCAGGAAAAATGAGAAGACGAAGAGAGGAATTCAATCCCACCCCTCAACAACAAAACCAATGAGAGGGAGCAAAGGGTTATTTTCGCGCCACAAAAGATGGAAATCCAGGGGCGGCTCGGGGTCCAATGAATGGAAACCAGCAAACGGCTCCGGCGGCGGCAGCCGACGGTGATAGGCTCCCTCCGTCCACCAATCGGGTGAGAGAAGCAGCTCCCCCCGCCCCCTCCTCAGCCAGGGGCGGTGTCTCTCTCCACGCCGGTTGCTCAACTTGGTCTCGGCGAGTCGGCCCCGCGGAGCGCGAAACCCCGCCCCGGGGCCGCGTTTGCGCGCCGTGCGCCCGTCTCGCGGCCCCGCCCCGCCCCGGACCGAGGCGCCTGGCTCAGCCTGCGCTCCTTGCGGTCTTTCTCCGTGGGTACCAAACATCCCCCAGCGCCATGTAGCTCCTCGCACAGTCGAAATAGGCCTGAACTGCGGGAGGGTCGCCAAACACACGCTGCCTGGTTCGTCCCCGCCGCCCGCCGCGGGCGGGCGCGCGCTGGCGAAAGAGAACCTCAGGTGGTGGTGTGCGCAGAGGGGAACCGTAGAGGTTCTCCCGACCCCTGCATTTAACTCGTTCACAGCTCCGCGCGGAGGGACAGAACCTGCGGCGGAGCCAGAAAGCGCCTGTCCCGCGGCAGGGCCAGGACGGTCCGGTGGTTGAGGGCCTCCGAGGCGAGCAGGCGAGGAACGAAGGATCTTCCCCAGTGGGAGCTGCAAGAATCCCGCCCTCTTTTTTCCGGGCAGAACCAGGGAAAAAGGAAACCACCCCATCTTCTCATCTCCTGGGGCCGTATTTTTGATTTTTAAACAAAAATTACTGAAGGCAGATTCCGGAGAGGGCAGAGCCAAGTTACCACTTAACACGCATCTGGTTTCAACAAACGAGTCCAGGAGAGCTGTTGGAAGGAGCGAGAGTATGATAAAAATACCTCCTATGGGGCCCAGGCGTCGCGGCGGGCATTGCGTGCCCACCCGCGGTAAGGACTTCGGCTCTCGGGTGCTCTCAGAAGTGGACGGGGTTTAGGGGTAGCAGCAAGAATGCCCTTTCCTTCGCTTCTACTTGCTCAGCCTTCGCTCATAACCTGTGGATACAGCAACGGTAACCGACCTTCTAAACATAGTTTTTCTTCTTTAATATTACACTGACCCATAAGAAGCATTTTTATTGCCCTCAGGAGATAAGGAGTAGGTGCAGTTGTCCAAAGCATAAACAGGCTGCAGTTGGTGACACTCAGCCACATCAGAGCACACACAATGGGTGGGATTCTCTCGTGGGGTTAACATTAATTAGGAGCTGCAACTGCCTCGGAAAGAACTCGGAAGTAGCCCATGTGCACGGTTAATTTCCTGTGGGAGACTCATCGTAAGACTGGAACAGTTAGACTGACCTTATATTCATTTTTGAAAATCTACCAAAGATATTTTTGCACTTGAAATGCCAGGAAAAAGACAATTACCCGTGCTCTTTTTACTCAGCCAGTGAGTATATACTTCCCCCTCAAATGGCTGGAAGATTGGAAGTGGAGTGGACTGTATTTACCATCCTTTAATGTCTGAGCTTATACAACTCCTGTATGTTTTTAAGGTCCTAGACGGAGTATCCAGTTTGTTACAATAATACACAGATTAAGTTCACGAGTCCCAGGAACATATTTCATCAAAACAGCACACACTTGTCTTAAATTCCAGGTGTTAGATGTGTTTGATAGTGACAGACAAGCATGGTCCAGCATTTACGGAAAATAAACAATTTATCCCATGGTTTAGAAGTAGCTACTTCCTTAGGTCTCAGTTTTAATAAGAGCAAATACAGTGAACAATCCCGAAGGCACCATTCAAGTGACTTTGGAAGCAAGCTGAATATATAAAATTTGTTCTTAATGAAAAATTACTAAAAGTTAAATGATCAAAAGACTAATTTTTATAAATTACAGAGTTAGAAAAGCAAATATTACTAAATGAATGAAAAGCACATTTCTCCAAGTAGTTTTTGATCACATGCAACAGGTACATGAAAAATTCATAATTTTTTATATTTACATTTTGAATACCACAGAAGTTACTTGTCTTTTTTAGAACCAAGATTTTCTTTTTCAAAACATGAAAAGGAAAAATAAGCTCTTTTTAAAAAGTTAAACCTAACCATAAACTTAAAATCTCACCACCCAAATGTTCTTTAAAGATAGAGCTCATAATTACTGAACATTACACAAGAGCACATCTGTCTCCTCGATCTCATAAAGTAAAAACATTTCACCAAATTAAATCAATGAAAATACTGTGAAAGTGAGTTTACATTTAAAAAGTTGGATTTGCTTAGCAGAAAAAGAAAAACCTGTTAAAAAGAACAGTTGCATTTAAAATGGATGATCTGACACCTTCCGGTTCAACACAAATTATAAAATAAGTTCCTTTTAAAAGCTAAAATGTAAATACTCTATATCCTGCAATAGTTCCCACATGTAGAAAAAATGTCATTCATCTTTTAATGGGAAAATACACATTTAAATCCCATATACGGATTTGACAATGAGAAATGAACTCTATCAATTTTAATTACTGAAAATGTTTCAATGTAAATCATAGTATTTTCTCTTTCGCACAATACATTTTCTACTACTAGGAGTGCCAGGTCATTAAAGATTCCTGTTTTTATTTCCATGCTACATAGAATTTCATTCACTTTAAAAATAAGCATTTTTCATCTTTTCCATGGAATACCTGTTAAAAATACGCCACAAGTAACTGGTGCAAATGAAGCTTTTGAGTGGAGCACACAATCATTAAACGACACTTGCAGATTTCCACAAGAACCCCAGCACTATGTTCATTTCCGTATTCCTCTTCTCCAGTCTACATTTTGTTGGCCCAGTAAAGGCTTCACCGGGCCCAGACCCTCCCCCACACTCCCACCATTGTACTCGTTACATACGGGGGAAATTATGAATGGTTCTCATGGCCGAATGCGGGCAGAAAGGGACTCGAACAATTTTTCAAGTGCGAATATCACCTAGGGGTAACGCAGAACGGTCTTCCTGTTTCAAGAGTCCCAAGTTCTCCAACTAAAATTCTTTAAATAAAAGTACCAGCCTACCCCACTCCTCCTCCTCTGGAAACTACAGGAAGAATTGGTTTCCGTTTAGATACCGACTTCTCCCCCTCTGACTTCTCTCCTCCGGCCTCCGAGGCTGCGGCCGCCCCCATCCCCACGCCAAATACCTCCGCCCCTACGCTCCCCTCCCCCACCGGTGGCCAAGCCCGCCCCCGGCCTCATTTATCTCTGAGCCTTTTCTGAATCGGGCAACCAATCGCAAACGCGAAGCCGAGAGCCAACGCGAGCGCAGGCGGAGGAGGTGTCGCCCAGACACCCGCCCAGGACGCCGCGGGCTCCCATCCCCCACCGCCCCTGGCTTGGGGCCGCCCCACTACCCCGGTGCCAGGGCCCGTGAAGGGTGCCTGGGGTGGGGCGCGTCTGACCGCCTCTCCCGCCCCCTCCCACCCCCACCCCCTTGCTGCGTTTCCGCCCCTGCCAGCCCTGGAAACGTGCTTGCGGCTTTGCCGGGGTTACACTTCAAATGTCATCAAAGCCACAAGGCGAGTTCGAAATTGGGACTCTTTGGTTTTGTTAATTACCTATTTTTAAAAAATCGAATATTTAAAACTCCGGTAACTAGAGCTGAGAAATTGCCTAGTTAGCACCTCCACCCGTATCTCATTAAAAAAAAAAAAAATCTTCCCTTTTCCTCCCCTCCCCCTCAGGACCCGCCCCGACCAGATAACCCTTTCTAAACTCAGTCGTGACAATCAGCGCCGCCAGGCGCGCTCCCCTCAGAGCCCCGGCTGAGGCTCCTTTAGTATTTTTCCCCTTCTTCCTCCTCCCGCCTCTCAGGGTCTCTCCCTCAAGCTCATTTCCCCTCCCCCTCTTCCTCCTCTCTCTCGCTCTTTTTTCCCCCCGAAACCCACTCTAATTGAGGCGCTGGGATTCCTCACGTGAGACGTTGATTTGTAGTTTGAACACGTGGCTCATTCAAAAAGCCGGACACTCGGAGCGGATTTTTTCCGCCTCCTGCGCCTTCCTCCCTCCACCCCTTCCCCCCTCCCTCCTGTCAGTCACCCTTCTGGGTTTTTTTATGGGGAGGCGGTGCCTGCCCTCACGTAGTGTGATATTTTCACAGTCCGCCGGCCGATGCCAAAGGGGTTGGGGAGGAAGAGACAAAAAGTAGTTCTTCCCCCCCTCCTCCTCCTCTCCTTTTTCTCGCTAATCCCGCCTCCTCCTCAGAGTTAGGAAGACTCGTTGATACGTTTGGGTTGCAGGAAGGGTTTTTTCTTTTCCTTTTTTTTTTTTAATACCCAGAAAAGGAAAAACAAGAACCTTCGGATTTGATTTTTCTCTCCTCGTTCTTGTTCTTGGTTCTTACTGTGTTTGTGTGTTTTAACGGCGAGAAGACGAGGGGAACAAAACCCGCCGGAGCCCTCCATCACTGTGGGTGGTTTTAATTTTTCGTTTTTCTCCGAATTTTTTAAAAAGCAACCACTCTTCACAATGAACAAACTGTATATCGGAAACCTCAGCGAGAATGCCGTCCCTTCGGACCTGGAAAGTATCTTCAAGGACGCCAAGATCCCGGTGTCGGGACCCTTCCTGGTGAAGACGGGCTACGCGTTCGTGGACTGTCCGGACGAGAGCTGGGCCCTCAAGGCCATCGAGGCGCTTTCAGGTGGGCCCGCCCCGGCCCCGCCGGCGCGCCCGCCCCAGCCCTGCGCCGCCCGCCCGGGCCTGCCGGGGTCGGGGACCCGGAGCCAGGCCCGCGGCTGCCGCTGGGGCGTCCAAACAGGGCCCCAGGCCCCGCGGAGGGCGGGCGGGGAGGTGGGGCGAGGCCCGGGCGCCCACACGCGTGAGGTCCGGGGTGCTTTCCTCAGCTAGGGCTCCAACCCGGCCCCCCACGGTTCCCCTCCTCCCGCCGGGGCTCTGGGGGCGGACGGCGGACGCGCTGTCAGAAAGCCGCGGCGCGGACGCCGAGGGCAGCGGGGCTGGGGGAGGTGCGACCGAGAGCGCCGGACCTCAGCGCTCGCCCCGCCCGGGCCCAGGCGCGGGCTCCAGTCTCCGGCACGCCGGGCCTTAGGGGCCGAGCGCGCTCGCCCGCTTCTCTCTCCCTCCCTCCCTCCTTCCTTTCTCTCTGCACGGTATTTATGGTGTTGGCTTCGCAGTTCTCCTGGTTCGCCCCAGACCCCAGGCGTGGGAGAATGCAAGTGGCCTCGACCCTGCTGCGGAGTGAGGCCTCGGGCTGGTGCCTAGCACGGGCGGCCCGGCGCTTCCTCTAGATCCTGCGGGACGCAGGCTAGTGCGACCTGGGTGCCACGTTCCACCTCCCCCGCGTCCGACGAGCCGGAGGGGCAGGTGGGCGAGAGCGGCCAGTGGTCGCTGGCAAGGGAGCCCCAGCCGCCGCGCCGGGCGCCCCCGTCGCTCTCCTCGTCCCGGCCGCGGCCTCCGGGGGTGGTGGGGCAAGCTCGAGTCCCGTCCCCCCCACCCCGCCCCCGGAGCCTGTGTGGCGGGCGCCGCGCAGTCCTTCGCGCCTCCTTCGTTCTGTGCTGAGATGCCTGTCTGGCCGTGCACTCTGTGCCTACCCTGCCGTCCTCGAACCTCTCCAGCTACTCCCTGTTTCTGGAGGGCCTGGGCTTGAAGCCGGGAGAAGGGCTCAGCGTCCCCTCCCGAATAAAAGCCAGCGTAGCCCACTCCGCAGAGTTTGTCTTGTGCGAGTGCCCGGGGAGGTGGGCGGAAGGGCCGCGTCAGTACTGCGGCTGTCGTGGAGTTGGGTGACCCCTGAGGTGGGCGGTGGAGGCCTGGGGGTAGACTGTTACCCAAGTAGTGGGCCAGCTAATGGGCCCTCCTCCCCACCCATCTGTAAGTTCTACACAGTCCTGAGGGCTCAGCTTTCCCTCCGCGCGTGGCCGGGCTTCCCTCCCGGCCTTGAGACACATCCGGGTGCCTTGGGTGGGTGGGTGGGGGTGTCTCAGGAAGTCACTTGTGTCACTGCTTAGGCGCTGCCGGTCCTTCGTGCGGGAAGAGCCGCTAAACCCGGCCAACTGTCTTGCACCTCTTGTGTGTCCTCAGGTAAAGTGGAACTGCACGGGAAATTAATGGAAGTCGAGCACTCTGTCCCAAAAAGACAAAGGTGAGCTTATTTATCACATTTTCATTAATTCTGTTCTCCCTTGTTGGGAGGAAAGACTCAACACAGCTGAAAACAACTTCTCTGACGCTTTTTGGATTACCATATGCTGTATGGCTTGGCTTTTCCGTCTTTTATTCCTTGCGTTTAAGTTTATGGCAGGTGTGTGTGCGTGCGCTGGTAAGGAATAAAGATCTTGCCCGTCGCTCCTGCCACTGGATTATTGCTGTAGAAGTCTCTCAAGGAAGCTCTCAGCTGTATGTTCTCCGAGTTGCTACAATAGGAAATCAGAGTCTTGAAGGGCAATTTTGGGATCAGTAGGAATTAGGAAGCAGTGGGTGACCCTCCCCCACTCCCCACCTATAAGTACAGGATAGAGGAAAGCAGCTGCAGACACGCGTGGGTATGGAGTGTCTTTTTTTTCTCTGTTCCGAGTTGGCGGCGATGAGTCTGAGAGGCCTGGGAGGCCGTCTGTGTGTATCTGAGAAGAGAGGAATTTGCTGATTGGAACACGTGAGTGAACGCCTGGGCTTCTCCTGCCCAGAAGCGCCTTTCAGTCACTCCAGAGTTACACAGGTTGGTGCAAACCAGCCTATGTCTTCCACCCCTTCCCTCCCTCCCCGTCCCCCACCCCGCCAATATTTTTGCTTACAAATAACCACCAAGAGGTCGTGAAGATTAAAGATTTGTACTAAAGCAAGGGAATTGCACTTTTTGGAGAGCAAGTGTAGTGTGTCACTTTACAGAATGTTTGCAGACTGTTTTAACCTCTGGTGTATTGTGAAGAAATGGCTCCTTCAAGAGCAGGCCAGATCCCCGCTCTGTAACTAACTGGAAAGGCGCTGCTCCCTTACTGTGGTGCTAGGTTTAGTTTGTGCTTTTCTGGGTTGTGCAGGGTGGGGTTAGGGTTTCTGCCTTTCTCTCTTTCCATCCCCCCACTCCTAACTTGGGCTAAGAATAAGCTGAAAGTTAATCTAAACTAGGGCTGTATGTGTCTGGTTAGGTATTGGTGAGTGGTGTGTTAGAGGGCAGGAGAGGTTTGCTATGCATTTCCCTGGTGCTCTGCAGAGAGGTGGCTACACGAAGTGTCACTATGTGCCTGTTTCTATATTGAGCTCCCTTTCAGGTAAAGCGTTTTCACAAACCTTGTTTTTGTTAGCTAGATTTTTGTGGATTTCTCTTGTTCATGTACTTAATTTTTATTAGGATTGTTGAAAAAGGATTTGTGTATGAGATTTAGTTCTAGTTGGGAATTTTGGTGAGGTCAAGTTATTTCACATAGTAGAAGGGAATTATTTTTTTAAGAGCTTCTAAAATAATAGAACATGTACTGAAAGGTATCTAAACTGATCTCCGTTTAATAGGAAGTGAAAAATTGAGGGGAAAGGCACATTTCCTTAAATATTTAAAGGCATAGTCTGTATTGTATAACTAGGGTGGGAAAAATGTAGGTGCATTCTGCAAATTCTTACTGGTTTCATGTTTAGCCCGTGTGTCCTAATTTTCTTCAAAAGTTGGATAAGAAAGAGGCAAATGATTGTGTCAAAGGACTGGCATTTTAACATTTGAGAGTTTCTAGAGTTAAACATTAAATGTCTGGCATTTTTCAGATACAATTTATGGACCTGCATGGAAATGCAGATTATTTTGCTTTGCTCTCCTGATTTTCTTTTCCATCCTGGTGTGAATTTCCCCCCATGTGTAGGGAATGAAATTAAAAACATCTGGTAACAGACTGTTTTACCCTTAAAGGCTTTTGCCCAACCTAAAAACATACTTGTTACTTTATAACGAACAGGAGTTTGTTTTAGGAAAGCATATAAGGTATGCCACCAGGGGCAGCAGATCTTTATCAGTGAAAGCTTTTTCATTTTAACAACTTAGATTAAAATTTCAGGCTGATTTCGCTTACATTAAAATGCTCAGAATTTTATTTATTTTTTTTAAGATTTTATTTATTTATTTGAGAGAGAGAGAGAGAATGAGAGAGAGCACGAGAGAGAAGAGGGTCAGAGGGAGAAGCAGACTCCCCGCCGAGCAGGGAGCCCGATGCGGGACTCGATCCCGGGACTCCAGGATCATGACCTGAGCAGGAGGCAGTCGCTTAACCAACTGTAAAATGCTCAGAATTTTAAATGAGATATTACTAGCAAGTAGAATGAGGACATTGGAGACTTTTTTTTTTTTTAAAGATTTTATTTATTTTGACAGACAGCGAGAGAGGGAACACAAGCAGCGGGGAGTGGGAGAGGGAGAAGCGGGCTTCCTGTGGAGCAGGGAGCCCAATGTGGGGCTCAATCCCAGGACACTGGGATCATGACCTGAGCCGAAGGCAGATGTTTAACGACTGAGCCACCCAGGTGCCCCTGGAGACAACTTTCTACCTATAGGGAGAACAATTAAGTAAGTCCTTTTCTAGGATTGAAGTGGCAAAAAAGAAAAGTAGAGGTTTCTTTTCTCTGCCCAGGGAAATTTGTTAGAAATCTAATTATAATACAATTTTGTTTTAACTGAACCTTGGAACTGTGATGCAGTTTCCCTTATCTGGACTGTTACACTGTCTGAATAGGCTTTGGGAGGGGGCTGAGGACACACGTTGGTGGATCCATGCCTAGCTCCTATAGATAGTCAAGAAGTGGTATTGGCGGGGCGCCTGGGTGGCTCAGTCGTTAAGCGTCTGCCTTCGGCTTAGGTCATGATCTCAGGGTCCTGGGCTGGAGCCCCACATTGGGCTCCCTGCTCCGCGGGAAGCCTGCTTCTCCCTCTCCCACTCCCCTGCTTGTGTTCCCTCTCTCACCGTGTCTCTGTCAAATAAATAAAATCTTAAAAAAAAAAAAAAGCGGTATTGGTGACAGTTGGTATTGGTGAATGCTGCAGACCAGTCTTTGCCAAGTGAGCCTGCTAGACTTCTGCGTGGAGTTTTTTGTGCTTAGCAGTCATTGTATTCCATCCCATCATCATGTGGGCATCTGAGGCAGGCACACCCACATGTGCAGCAGTGACCTTTATACCTGCTGTGCAAGGCATGTTGGGAGCCTGGTGCTGAAGAATGCTTATGGCAGCACTCTGAGATGGATGAGTGGGCTTGCAGCAACTAAATAGGGGAGCAGGCCCAGGAGGCAATTTGATGGCCCAGCTGTGACTGGGAGCTGAGCTGGGCACAGAACCTTTCAGGAAGGGGCACTGTGGAGTTTGGTTCTGACCAGGCTTGGCTTTTGATGGCCGAAGGCTCAGGGGAATGTGGAAGGAATGTTGCTTTTCTGCATTCAGGTACCCCTTGGTTGGGGAAGATGATAGCACTATTTTACAGAGCTTGAGATCCCTTGGGTCCAGAATGAAGAGAAGATTGTTGAATATCTGTGAAAGTGTTGCACTTTCTGTTCGGAGGTAAAGGATACAGCACATGAATACTTGGCTTCACTCTGAAGTATAAGCTTGAACACTTACCCCACTCCCCACCCTGCCTTGGGGGCAAGGGTGGCTGTGAAAATTGTTGTGACTTTAGAAGACTGTAGCTCAGTTTGATTGGAAGAGCCGCTGGTATCTTGTGGGACCGCATATGTGCCCCTATGTGATTATGTAAATAGCACCGATTTCCTTTTTTGTTATGTTGTGGGCTGTTGGGCATGGGAGAGGGAATGGGAAAGTTGCTGACACTGGGGAACTGACAGGATGGTCGTTTTAGTTTGTTTTCCATGACTTTTTTAAGTTATGAAAAATTTTTTACATTTTTGGTTTTTTATGGCTTAAACTTGCTCATGATTTAGCTGTCAGCATTGGTTAAGATTATATGAAGCCAAAATATATTTCAATGAAGGATAAACAAAATGGTAGGATATTGTAGTTAAATATTTTTCCAGGAAGGATCCATTAAAACAGACTGGTGTCTAAGCTCACATGATTTTGTTCTTTCCTTAAAAAAAGAAAATTAAGTGAACAACTTATTTCTGTATTAGAGTCTTGTGTTTAGTATGGTAGACATAGCATGTATAGAAGTTACTGGGGTTTTAAATATATCTTTATTTATTTATTTATTTAAAGATTTTATTTATTTGACAGAGAGACACAGCGAGAGAGGGAACACAAGCAGGGGGAGTGGGAGAGGGAGAAGCAGGCTTCCCGCGGAGCAGGGAGCCCGACGTGGGGCTCGATCCCAGGACCCTGGGATCATGACCTGAGCTGAAGGCAGACGCTTAATGGCTGAGGCACCCAGGTGCCCCTGTATCTTACTTTAAATGTCTATTTAAAAGTGCTGCATTTTAACAGCTGTTATGTATGGAATAGCATGGGGCCATAACCAGCAATTTGTCCATTAGCCAGGGCATATGATCCTGTTGTCTCAGGCCAATAAAAGCTGTTTTTAATGCTGAACATTTAAACATAGGCATGAATAGCTGTGCTGCTCCTTGCTTATCAGTTTGGGACAGGTGAATCTTGTGAATTGGAGAGGTTTCTCACACAGAGACTTGAGGTTCTGATTTTTAGGAAACTTTCATGGCTGGTAAAGAATCATAAGCAGTGTCTTTGGAGTGCTCAGTTTAAGGTCAGTAATGCATGACTGCTTAAGTGATTGTAGCCAACAAGATTTTTCTTGATTTCATGTTGCTTTCTTAGTACAGCTTGAGAGAGAGTAAAAGATTTCTTAACTTCAGCATTATTAGAATTAAAAAAATATATAAATGAACGTTGATGAGTAGCTTCTGTGGGGCTGTCCACGGTGACAAGGAAGACCTTATGAAAACATGACATGTGCCTGGAGCCAGTGGGAATTGAGAATCTTGGCTTCTGTTTCTGGCTTTCCTTTTGATTTGTGTGATCACTTACATTCTCTGTTCATGCCAAATGCCACTGTAGTAAACTAACAGGGGGCATATTTTTTGAGTTTTGCCATTCTGCTTGAAATGAGTTACCAGCTGAGGCTTAAAAATACCTTTTGGAATGAGACGTAGGGTCTTCCCTGTATAAAACTTGTATTTTCTGTAGTATGGCAGCTCAGTTGCTTT